AAGAGACTGAGACTGCAAAAAAAAACAAATAGTTCAAAAATGTTTTGATTTGCCTAAAACGAAAAAACATAGACGAAGAAAATGCAGTTTTTACTATGTTTGGATGAAAAATTTTTCATATTACGTGAATAATGATTACAAAGCACAAAAAAGGCTACAAAAAATCCTGTATTTTTTAGCCATTGTAGCTGTCACGATGTGAAAAGCAAATTCCCGATTATTTTTACCTTCCGAAATTTTACTTGCTAGACCTGGCAACACTAGTTACAGACCATTGAACAGAGACATCTCTAAATGTATGCGGGAAGACTTACGCAACTTTGATACAATTCGTATTCAAGAGGTAATTGAGCGGAATTTCGAATGAGATCGAGTAGTTTTGTCACATCGTCGTTAGAATCGCGAACAAAGTGTGAATAACGACCCTCATCTCATCCGACACTTTGCTATACTCCATCTACATCTATCCTCGATTACAAATCAAAATGCAGATGTGTTGTCAACCGTGAGGACTGAGATGGAATGCCTCGTTTCCAGTAAAAAGGGTCTCCGGTTCTGTACACTCACCATACGAAACACAGCAGCATTAAGCTACTATTTCACGCTGGTATTCTGTGAGAGCGTGGTCCTTTCCCAGTCGAGCCGACCCATTCGTGCTACAACTATACTAGGTACTAATATAACTGCTGCATGTCTCTACCAGAGAACACATGCATTTAGAAGGGCACAGTTCTTCGAAACATTTTTTTCTTATTTCTGAGACATGCAGGTCTGAACATTATAATGCTATACTTCACCGCCGAGCACGTGGTAAATCAGCACTTAAAATTACAATCAACGACGTGCCTGCAGGGATCGATCGCGTGCTTTAAAATTTACAGCGAGTACTTAGCCCCTGAGCCACACCGCTCATTCTGCAAAAACGATGATAAGCCCTTAGAGAACTAAAGACCAATTTCTCTTGAGAGCCATGTGCTCTTTTCGAGAATTATTACTCACTAACAAGCCTCTTTTCGAAAGGTCTTTAGTACCATTAAGAGTTTTTAATGACTTTATTATTATAATTATAAAAATAATATTACAGCTCACATTTTCTGTTCTTATGTAAATAAGCTGCTGCGTTCATTACCTTTTGCTTTTTTTATTTTTAATTTGAAAAAGTCAAACAGTCTTAAGAGTACTATATGAAAGCGATAAATCTTTAGTATCATACATTTACATCACGTTCTAGTCTTATATATGGTCTAGCTTTTCCTAACGTCGAAGCATATTAACTTTACAATTTACATGAAAATATATCTTTAATTTTTTATATTGTTACGATAATATGAAAAATATTGACTGTCGTTTAAATTTTTCTTCGGCAGTTAGTCCACCGATGAATAATTTTATGAGAACCTTAACATACAAAAATAAATTTCGACGCTGTATGTTCTCGGGTTTAAGCTATAATCTGTTTTAATATAGAAGTCCAGGGGAAATATGCGACCTGGAATGTCTCTCTTCTAACCCGAGACTATCAACTAACCACGTGTTGTGATAAGACGATTCAAGTTCAACAAGTATATACGTCACATCTGATAACCTTGTATGCTTGCAGGTCACAAACTAAAGAACACAAATAAACAAACAAAATGCAGATCGCAGCTTATTTATTAATATATATTTTTTTACATTCATTAATAAAATATTTATCTAGGTAATAAAGGTTTAAAAAAAGCTTACAAAATATCTTACATTAAATTTAAACGCGCTGACAACCATAAGACGCCTATTTTGGAACGTATTTTCACGAATACGAAAACAAACCCATTACGAAAATAAACTAATAAGCGCGTAAACACCCTAAGGATAACTTACGTAATATATTGGTACTAAACGGCTCTATGTAATAACGTTAAATTGAGTTGATATTTTTTCATAATGCTATGAGCGAATCTCACTCTTTGTGGAGAAAGCTTTATCCAATAATGGGACAATAGAAAGACATTACTTATTGAATATTTTTTACATATATTTATTATTACTTAAGGTCTTAAGGGAGGGGGGGTCGAGCCGAATCTTAGGCAATCTTATGTCACCCCCGTGAGGGAGGATCTTGGTAAATATCACGTCATTTTTTCCGCAAGAAACAGTGTAAAATTTCGAAAAAATTGGGTTAAATTAAGTAAAAATGGCTAAATCCGACACGTTATTATTTATTATAAAAATAATTAAGCAAATTATATATTTTTAGCACATTTATACTAAAAATACGAATTTTGAAAAATCTCAATTGAAATTTGGGATGAGGGAGTCGAACCGTATCTCACGACAGCTCACCAGGGAGAAGGGGAGAGCAGAAAAATAGTTTAATGAACGTCCCCTTGTCTACCTGATTGTAAGTGGCTACTGTAGCCCATGAACTTCAACTTTAACCATATCTCACAAAATCTGACCAGGGGAAAGGAAATTATAGTATATACTTATTTTAGTAGATTTTAGTATTGTGTAGTGTAGTTAGTTTTTTAAACTGATTTTTGTGTGAAGTGTTCCTAATTACAGCCAAAGCTTGTTTGTTTTCTTGTCTCTGTCCTCTTAGTTTTGGTATCCCTTACGTATCTTACTAATATATAATTTTTTTTATCTATAAACTTTTGAAAAAGCTTACATAATATAACTTAAGCAGAATCTATTGAAAAAAGTTTTTTGATAAATAATGATAATGTTTAAAGAACGTACAAATAACTTAAAATTTGTTGAGTATACGTCTTAAGTGTGACGCGATTAATAAAACTTTGCACTACGGTACAGCTAACTTCATTCTGTTAATGATTTTTAATGTTAAATTGTTCTTGCATGGTACGCGTTCGTAAAGCTTACGATAGAGTTCGTAAGTAAAATTGAGTATCCATTCATGTATTCTTTATGCTGGGGTAAAGGGTTGTTTTTTTACTAATGTAAATTTCATGTGTACTCGTACATGGCGCGTGCTGCTAATTGACTCTCAGGTGACCGGATATGCGGAAAATCAATTTTGTATTAGACCACACCTAAATCCTATAGACATGTTTTTTATAGGATAAGGTGACAAATGAGCACACAGTCCACCTGATGGTAAGTGGTTGCTACACCTCATAGACGTCTTCATCTATCCTCGATTACTAATGAAAATGCAGATGAGTTGTCACCCGTGAGGTCTAAGATGGAATGCCTCGTTTCCAGTAAAAAGGGTCTCCGGATCTCTACACTCACCATACGAAACATAGCAACGTTAAACTGCTACTTTAGGCTGATATTCTGTAAAAGCGTGGTCCTTCCCCGGTCTAACCAACCCATTTCTGCTACAACTATACAACTAATATAGTTGCAGTATGGTTTTACCACGTATTGTGCAATTTTTAAATTGTATTGAGGATAGAAGAGGAACTAGCGTTTTATTTATCTACTTTGCCAGGCACATTTATGAAAGAGGCTTAGGCAATGCGATGATAAAAAGTCGTGCAACTGCTCCGAATTAAAATCTCGCAAACTGATCACAGAGTACCTTCAATTCCAGGTATTGAAAGTCTCTACGTACAAGCAGAGGCGCGAAAGTAAATCTTTTAAAATTTATTTGGCGTACACTTTAAAAAACCCTATTTTTAGAAAATGATACGCCCTTCTATCCTCAAAAGAGAAAGAGAAAAGAAAAGGCATCTGCTGTAACATTCTGCATAAGAGCAATAAAGCTTATGAAGATTCTCCATATTATATATTATACACGCAATGTGGTTATAACGAGCTAACAGTTCAGCTAATGGTAAGTAATTACAGCAACTCCAGAACTCCTGGGACCTACTCCAAACAATTAAGGCCAGTGACGCATTTTCACTACTGAGAAGCTTATATTACTGGAATGCGTCACGGATTGTAGTTTTTATATAGAAGAGGGTACAAACGAGCATGCGGCTCACCTGTTGGTAAGTGATTAACGCAGGGCTTGCATTACCGTAAAATTATGGGTAATAAGGATCAAAGGTCATATATTTTTATTGCCATATCTTAAAATAACGATATACAAATTTTTCGATACCGAAAAATAACGGTAACGTTATTTTTTCCTTACCTAGTCTATTTCGAATAGACTAGGTAAAGAAATAGAATAACAAGAAAATGTAAAAGAATTCGGAAGGCAATCGAGCACACAGTCCACCTGATAGTAAGTGGATAGTGTGGCTCATAAACATCTACATCTATCCTCGATTTAAAATCAAAGTGCAGAAGCGTAATTATCAACTTATTTCTTTTACTAACTTTCTTCCTCCTTTGTTCAAAACTACCTTTTAAATTACCTTTTCAATTAGTTTCTTAGAATTCCTTATTTGTCATTGTCAAAACAACAAATTCTTTTGGTTACAGAAAGAGATATTTTTGGTTACCAATTCAATTTCGGTTATGTAAATGTTACAAAGGTATAATAATACCTCTAAAAATAGCGTTACCGTTATTTTATACCGGTGGCGTATTGATGTATTTAAATCGCTTTCGGTCTACCTTTAATAAAACGAAATCAATATTTTATATACCAGTATAAATTTACGCTACCACACCAAATTCATACTTTAACCGCAATCAAGCCCTGTTAAGTCGCCTACTGCAACACCGGGAATCCAGGGTTGCTGTACTGCAGCAACCCTGGTTCGATTCCTGTCGTCAATCGGACCAAATAACTATCTACTACTATGACATCGCGACGTGAAACACCTCAGTCCTCCCGTGAATGGGTTCTGTAAAGCACCCGAAACATCGGGAATCACAAATAAGTTAAATTAAACGCGGTAAAATTAATTTTATTCAATGATAATAATTTGTTGTCGTAACAATTAAATAACTAAAACATTATCTCTGCTATTACGGCAATAAAAATAATATTAGATTTATCAAACCCAAAACCAAAAGAAGTCTGACTCACGTAGGTCTAATTTTGTATTACCAGTGAAACGATTTAAAAAGTTTAAAAAGTATTTTTATGGCACACTTTATATTTTCTTTGTAAACACCACCGCAATAAACCAACTTGGGGATCCCCTATAAGGAAAAAGTAAACTTCCACGAATTACAATATATCGCTTTCAAGTTTTTGAGTTGCAATCGTTATATAAAAAATAAATGAAAGGTGTTTTTTTATTCGCACAGAAAACGTCATTTAAATTTCTCATCAAAACTTTTTATTTTTACTGATCTAATATACTCTGTTTTGAAGTCATTTTTTATCCGTGGAGATTGTGGTAAAACGTAGGTAAATATTAATAATTAATTCTTAAAATCGGTTGAAAACCTTGGTTTATATAAATTCTATATTTTAGGACGCCGTCAAGCGTAAAAAAATATGTGACGTTAAATTAACAAATAAGCTCATGGTTCACTTGATGTATGTAGCATTTTTTATAGAATAGGGATGACATGATATCTACATCTATTCTCGATTAAGAATCGAAATGCAGGTGCGTTGTCAACCCTGAGGACTCCGGTTCTCTACACTTACCATACGAAACACATCAGCATTAAGCTGCTATTTTACGCTGGAATTCTGTGAGAGCCTGTCCTCACCAACATCATCGTTCATGGCCATCTCCATAGAGGGTTTTTTGAGATAGTTACCACGTCTGTTGCGGTTGTCAACCTGCACTTTTTAATTTGACAACCGCAACTTTTTAAATTTTTTAGTTGTTATCAGGAAAATGCTGCTGCCTCTTTCGCTTTTTACGACACCCACGGGAGGATATGGGGTAGTGAATTATCTTAGGCTACTAATACAAGGGACGCAATAAATTTAATTTAACTAAATAAAAATACCATATGACATAAAACCTCATTGTTACTAACAGCATCCAAAATGTATTGGTGAATAACTTGGACACCTAGTTTAGTTTATATTTATTAGTTAGCATTTTGAATTCATGTCTTAAAACGTGTTCCATACACATAGTCGATACATTCTCTACTGAAATAGTTACTATTTCATAGATATAAGCGTTTTTTTTGAAGTGATATTACGCATTTCTAAACGACTTTAAAAAGGAGAAGGTTCTCAAATCGATTGTATTTTTTTGTGTGTTACTTCAGAACTTTTTCCAGGTAAACCGATTTTGATAATTCATTTTTTATTTGAAAGCTGGAGCTTCTCATGTAATCCCATATAAATTTGATCAAGATCTGACGTATTTAATTGACTTCGGCGACATTGATGATGTTCTCATTTTATTTATATTGAAGTCGATTATACAAAAATTTTATTTTACCCCTCATACAATATTGATATAAACTTATACATAACGTAACGGTACGGGCCGTAGTTTCTAATCCCGCACGAAAAAAAATGCTTGTATGGCACACAAGTCATTGTTTCGGTTCTGAGTGATTGTCCTTGTGCAATTTATATAATATGGGAAACCAACCCGATAGAGGAGAAAATCCAAGTATAACGTTTATAAAAAAATTACATATATTATTTAATGTTTGCTTATTTATAAAATAAATAGGTCAAAATGGAATTTTAGCAACCTATATCCAATGATTAATGCTCGACACGGACACGTTTGCGGTCCGACAGGACCTTTGATGAGTTGAGCGTTAAGAAACTCATCAAAAAGTAATTTTCTAGTCCCTTCTTTAATCTTATACATTTTACAAGTTTTTTTTTGAGCTAAGGTTGCTTTAATAATAATTATTAATATTAAAAGTTTAAAATAAATATTATTACGAGAACTACAAATATTATTAAAATTTTGACATTACAAACAGACATGTATATAGACTTATTTGTATGGATTACATGTTATATGAATTCCACTCCATGAAAGACCCTACCTTACCTACGGTTAACTTTTTCGGGTGCACAAAAGATGGATGGAAAATGGAAGACACCAAAACTTTGGGACATTGGACGGATGGACGGTGCCGTCTCTGGAGCACACGTCCTCAGCACAATTGGAGGGATTCCGTAAGGCCCACTCGACTTGTAAATGTCCAGAGGTAGGAGTGCTTTGCGTACTGATCACTGCGCGAATTGTACATTCGGGATAGTGCACTCACAATACGGGATAAATGACGGTGTGTTACCCCTTCCATGGTTTGTTACTTTGTTAGTTGCGGCATGAGGCAGCACGGGGAGGACGACTCAGGTGACAATGAACGACAGAGATGGAAGTGATAGTTGATAAAAATTCTCTTTGTTAGAATGCACGGGTTCCCGAAAAAGGCGTAGTAGTCTAATAATACCAATGTGCTCTGACTTTGCCCTCGCAATAACTCTTTTGAAGGACATGGAGGCGAAGTTATGCTTCTTAAGTATATCAACCCAGACCTGATACCGCTCTTGCTAATGCATAATGCAGTTTTACAGGACCAAAAAACGAAGGCTGTGGGCTGTCAAATCTATTGACTTTAGTTAGAGGCAATGCTCCAGAATAAGAAGATAACAGGGTTACTATCTTATTATCTTTCCAAGCCACACAACTCAAATCTATACCATCATGCACAGACACTCTTTCCTCAAAACTACCTCTGGGCACAGATTTTTTCATGAAATTTTTCTTCTCTGGAAGTTTATTATTTGGTATCCTGTTTTGTTGCACAGTTCCCACTGTGTGAATTCCTGATTTAGCTAAAAAAACTACCAGTGGCAAAGAGGTATAAAAATTATCAAAGTATATTGGCACTCTCACTAGGTTTCTTGGCACTTATCGAAGCAAACGAACTACAAAATTTCCTGTTGCACCAAGATCTGGTTCATCTGGGAGTTTCTCTGTATTCTCTTGTCCAGAATATACCTCAAACTTGTGGGCATATCCCATCAAATCACAGAGAACATACAATTTGAAGCCCCATTTATGGGGCTTCTTAGGCAGATACTGTTTTAAAAATGCCCTATTTTGGTAGAACACATCTGTTCATCCACAGAAAGTCTTTGATTCGTTGGCACTGTGGCAAACCTCTCATTGAGATGCTTGATAACTGGGCGGATTTTATAAAGCCTGTCATGTTCTGGATGACCTATAGGTTTGTGAAGATCATTGTTATTAAAATGTAATGATAACTTTATTTTCTCAAACTTGTTTAGTGGCATTTTTGAAGAAATGGGTTCATATCCAAACTTGGGCGACCAGTATGATCTTGTGCTAGGAAATTTGATTACTGACATGTATAATAATATACCCAAGAATTTATACAAATCATATTCTGTAAATGTTATAGATGAACTGGGATTACTCTGTATTATATATAAATTTGTCTCCTCTACTACTAATATAAAATCTTTAGTGATAAAATGGTTAAAACATTGATATGGAGTTTCTAGGTGTGATAGACCGCCTGAAGCAGTAGAACTCCCCAAGAAAGTAATTTTATCTGTATCATACACCAGATTCCTTTTTTTCCAAATCAAGCTTCTTTTGTCAAATGGAAAACTGGATGAAGACTGCAAATTGGATGATGTTGATGGCTGAGAGGATTCTTGATCTTCTGGTTCTACAAGAGGAGGATCAATGTCAGCAGTTTCATCCACATCTTCATCATCATCATCGTTCTCCTCCTGCATCACTCTTATAACTTCATCAGAATCGCGGTTTTCATCATCGGAATCTTGGTCATCAAGGCCGTCTTCTGAGAGCCAACCGCCTTCTAACTTACTAAGATAATCTTCAATATCTCTTTCATTCGTTTCCCTGAAAAAAAAACATAAAATAAACATTTACAAAAAATTGCCATACATTACAAGTGAAGTTACTGCACAGTGATGTAAATTTCCATCACATAGTTTTGAGAAATGTATTCACAGTGTTTTGATATAAATTGTACATAAAATAACAAAAACATGAAAACAAACCTCTTTTCCACTCATTTTCACTTTTCTTGTATTTTATATCCCCGTTTATTTCCTTAAAACAATTTAAAATATCACTTGTTTCTTCCAGTTACAACAAACAGCGGAATGACAAGTTCTAAGCCTGGTAATTGACAGTGACGTTTACTATTTTTTGACAACTGCATTTTGATGTACGCTATAGGCGCTTAAAAAGTTGCCAGCAACAACCAATTTACAGTAAAAATTATAAATATATAAATATTAAAATTTCCATCATCATGCAAAGAAGGGTTAACTTCTTATAGAATTAACTACCTTAGACCCGAGTGAATATTTTATTGACTGAGCTAATGAGTTGAGCATTTAATCAACTCGAAAAAAATAATCAATGTAGTTAAACCATTTCGAAATCTATTTATAAACTGTTACAATTTAATTTATATGCAATTTTTTTTTCGTCGTCAGTACACATATACACCCATACACATACACACACACACACACACACACACACACACACACACACACACATACACATACATATATATATATATATATTAGTATTTATATTGTATTGCATTGTTTTTAAAAATATCCCTATATATTTATCAGGCCAGAATTTTTCAAGAAATATTTATTCTGCCGGACATCTACTGGCATTATATACTTACGCAAGAATGAAAATTCTTCTCAAATTAGAATAAATAATGAAACAGATCTAGAAAATCTACGGAAAACCGAATGACTAGTTTTAAGGTTTAGATTAGATATTTTCGCATCATTTCTTTTCTTTCTTTTCTTTTTAACTAGCATAATAAGAATAAAGTATATTCTAACACTATACCTTATAATACACATAGTCACAATTTACACACAGTACATAAACAAAAATCAAATTATGTATACACACCTTAATTATATCACACTTACATTTTATAATAAATCATATTCACTCATTTCATATTAAGAACTTACAGTTACATTTTTCAATCAATTTATCTAGTAAAAGATATTATTTGGTCAATAACGTGATTTTGTTAGAGAAATTTAAAGTAATAAATAATAGGCGATAATAACGCTCTAAGCTTCACTATTAACTTAGATAAAGTTACGGTTATCAAAATCGATAGCCTGTGACGTTGAAGATTGTTATAAGTATTTTAAGGTAGGAAATAATAATAGTGAAAGTTTTAATATTAACATTGGTGAAGAATCAAACTATTACTTAAATTCATTTGCTTTATTGGACACGGATGAAAGTGAAGTAGAACAATTAATTGACAATTTGAAAACCGACTGCTCAGTTGGTTGGGATGGAATCTCGAATAAATTTATTAAAAATTTTAAATATTTGTTAATACCTCCTTTAACTTGTATAATAAATCAACGTTTAAATGATGGTGTATTCCCTAGATATCTTATCTAGGGAATACACCATCATTTTATCTAGGAATACACAGATCTTTAAAAATTTTTTAGAAGTCGGTAATTCGACAAATTTTTAAAGATGGCGAAAAAACTTGTGTAAATAATTATAGACCTATCTCTATATTACCCGCTTTATCCAAATTTTAGAGAAAATTACAAATAATAGACTTACAAAATATCTGGAAAAAAATAATTTATTTTCAAATACACAGTTTGGTTTTAGACATGGCAAATCAACAGAGCATGCCGTTCATACTCTTACAAATTTTTTGTCTTCGTATTTAGACAGTGGAAAAAAGTGTATTTCTGTTTTCTTAGATATGGCGAAAGCATCCGATACAGTATCAATAAAAATACTATTAAAAAGACTGGAAAATGGCGGTATCAGAGGCACTCAACTCAAATTATTTAAAAGTTATCTTTCTGAGAGATATCAATGCGTTAGGTTAGATTAGTGGTTAGTGAATAATATTACCAGCAATGATTTACTAGTAACACAGGGTGTACCACAAGGGAGTATACTCGGCCCAACCTTATTTCTAATTTATATTGATAATTTTACAAAATTTGATCTCTCTCAGGGATATATAATTTCATATGCAGATGACACTGTTTCGATATTTGCTGCGGATACGTGGAAAGATGTATTCTCGTCCGCACAAATAGGTATAAATGCAGTTACTAATTGGCTTTACCGTAATAAACTTTCAATCAATATTACGAAAACAAAATATATTGTTTATTCATTAAGAAAACCTATTCGCAACTTTGAAAATTTTAACTTAGTCATTCATTCATATGATTGCTTAACAAGGGATAACAGCTGTTCCTGCCTTTCACTTGAGTTTGTTGAATATATTAAATATCTAGGGCTTATAATAGATAGTAATTTAAATTTTAAACAATATATCAACACGCTTAGCAAAATAATTCATAAATTAATATATATTTTTAAAACTATAAGACACGTTTTGGATCCAGATTAATTAAAACGAGTTTACTTGGCTTTATGTCAGTCTATTATAACATACTGCATATCAACGTGGGGTGGTGCCTCTAAAACGATGTTACAAAAGATAGAAATCTCTCAACGTGCTATACTCAAAGTTGCAACATTTAAACCTTTTCTTTATCCTACATCACAGCTTTATGCTAACTGTCAGGTTCTTACAGTAAGACAACTGTTTATATAATGATTTCTTATATTTACGCGAACACCACACATTGAAATAATACTAGTTTTTACGGAAGTTATATTTATATATATAAAAAGTTAAATATACGCGATATTTAACTTTTTAAATACCCGACGTTTCGAACGCTTTACAGCACTCATGGTCACGGGCGGGACTGAGATGTTCAACGTCCAGATGTCATAGTTAACCGCGGTTACTATAGATTAAAATTTAACTTTTGTTCCGATCTACACAGTATGAACTTATGGTATTTTGAAGTCTTGCAGTTGTATGCTTGGGTTGGGATTTAATTTTATTTATTATATTATCTTATCTTATATATATATATATTATTATCACAAGCAGATGGTAGCAACCAGCCATCTTCTCTATTGAAATTAGGATGTTTTTTGATTTCAATAGCCTCGCGAATCATCCTTGGAAGGAATCGGTGTTCTTTAGCGAGGATTTGTGGTCCATCAAATCTGATGTAGTGACGGGGGGCGATCCTGTACGTGTTCACAGACTGCAGACTTCCCGGAGCGTCGATTCTTCACATCAGCTATATGTTCTTTAACGCGGGTTTTAATTGATCTTTTAGTTTGTCCTATGTAGGAGAGACCACATTCACAATCAAGCTTGTACACTCCTGCATCTTGCAGAGGGACATTACACTTGACTGATGGTAAAAACTGACCAATCTTCTTCAGCGGCTTGAAGTATGTTTTGATGGAAGCGCGCTTCAAGATGTAGCCAATCTTGTCAGTGACTCCTCTAACATATGGCACTACAGCAGGTACACGCTCGACTGTGGCCGGCTTCACTCGTTCACTGTGACGTAGGCGCGGGACCCGAAGCTTGTTGTCATGCAAAACTTGCTTGACATGGTGGAGCTCTGCAGCCAGGTGTTTACTGTCACAGATCCCTCGTGCTCTCTGAAACATAAATTCCGTAAAAACTAGTATTATTACAACTGTTTATATTAACGATCATTCAGAAACAACATAGCTTATTTCTCTACAACCGATCGAACTTAAATAAACGCAGGAAATTTTCCGTAGATACAACTAATTTTGAAACAACTTTTATAAGAATTTTTTTTTTGCATTTTTTGGGACCACACTTATATAATAAACTAAATAAAACATTAGACATTTACCACCTTAATAAAATTAATTGTAAAAAAAAACTGTACTTAATTACCTACAAAAATTAACTTATAATGAAACTGAAAACCTTCTTAGTATTCAGACTTAAAACGTAAATTCTTATATAACTGTCACCCGTAATACTACCCGTATAAAATCATAATAACCAGACACACACACGCACACGCGCGAACACACACACACACACACACACACACACACACACACACACACACACACACACACACACACACACATGTATACACACACATTTTACATGCTCCTCTCCCATAACTGCTCATACAATTACACTCATAACACAATTACTTCTTACAGTCATACATTACACTTCTTATGAGAGAGGAACGACATTAGTAGTATAAATTATTATCTTGTTTGTACCTTGGTATAAGTAATAAGTGGTAACATAGTATATAAACATAATATGTGATCCAATTAATTTCATTGTAACTTTAATTTTTGCTTGCATTAATTTTGCTTCTTCTAATATTTTTATAAATTAACGGTGAGGATATGGCGCTGACAGCTGATGCACAGGTCTCCTACTTCGGCTGCAGATGCTATGTTTTCAAGCACATGTACCAATGTAGCTTTATTAAATGTTAACCAAATATCCTGATGTACAACCTGTTGGAAATAAAGAACTTATTATTATATTATTATTATTATAGTAGTCCGTCACGTCGACCAGTCTCAACGGAGACAAGCCATCTGCGCAGGGCAAGATTATAGTGTTCAAGTGTACGCGCAAGCACAGGTGCACTCCCTATATCCTCACTCTCATAACTAGTCCGATATGACAGTAATTCTACAAAACCGGAGAGAGATCAGGCGCAGGATCAACGGATTTACGTGCTTTGCGAGGCACGTTTCTATGCACTCATATTCTATGTCCAATTATTATTACTGTGTCGTTACTCATTACTCATTAAATAATGCAGTAAAAGTTAAATAATATAGATTTAAATTGTTTGTTCAAATCGTTAAAACTAAGTCATTAGATAATACTTTTTCCTGATGAAGTTCGATTATATTTAGCAATACGCTGAAGCTCTAATAAATTATACTACTTATTTTTTACAATTAAGTTAGTTAGGAGTACTCATTCATTAACATTGGTGTCAATTCTAAATTCGAAATAGCTGTCGTTTGGGTAATTAAAAACCGGCCAAGTACGAGTCGGATTCCCGCATGAAGTGTTCCTTACCATCGTACAAGATTTAAATACACGTCTCTTGTATGGGGACTAGGGTTTTTTATAGGAAAAGGGTGACAAGCGGGCATACAGTCCACCTGATGGTAATTGGTTGCTGTGGCTTATAAACAATCATCTATCATCGTTTGCGAATCAAAATGCAAATGCGTTATCAGCCTCGAGGACTAAAATGGAATGCCTCTTTTCCACTAAATAGGGTCTCCGGTTCTCTACACTCACCATACGAAACACAGCAGCATTAAGCTGCTATTTGACGCTGGTATTCTGTGTATGTGTGAGAGAGAGAGAGTCCTTCCCCGATCAAGCCGACCCATTCGTGCTACAACTATACAATTAATATAGCTGCAGCATGGGCAGATAGTCGGGATTTGTCTGGATTCTCCCGACATTTTAAATGATCTCCCGACTCCCGATAAAAATCAAAATCTCCAGACAAACAGCTCTTCACATCACAGCTGCCTTTGATTTAAAATTTAAATAAAAGCTAAGTTAGTAATTAGACTGAACTTTAAAGTATATTGTTTGAGTTTTAAATCTTTCCTAAATACTAATATAGGATCCACATTGGTGGACTCACTAAAGTATAATTCCAAATACACGTGTACTTAAATTAATTATGTGTCAACAATGTTGTCTTTTTGTAGCCTATTTATTTAAAAATAAACTTTTTGTTTTACATTTTTATTTATATTTGTTTCTCTCGACAACAACCCCAAAATGCCGACATTTTATTTGTTCCCAATGGGGACTCGGATTTTTCTTCTTTTTTATATAGAGCAGAGCATGTTTGAAATGCAGTTCATTATGTTTCGATTCGCAAGTGTAGATACATAGACTCTCTGTTTTGTGATTTTGACCGCACCTACGCTACGGTACGGGACGTTAGAGCCGCTCTACATCGTATGCGGCACGGATGGGTTGGCTCGACAGTTTTCCAGCTCAAAATTTCATTCATATAG